TGTGTGCCTCTAAATACGAACATTTCCTAGGGGACATTGTAGAATTATAAGTGTTTTTTTTTAAAGATTTTAATGTCGTGTGGTACACGTACTTTATGATTTAATTACTGCTGACGTACATGTGCAAAATTTATGTACCCAAAATATAGTGTACCTGTCTCATTAGTTTATGAGAATAATCAGCTGCTGCCCCGTATAGAGGGGAGTTCGTGGGGGAGGGCACCCTAGATTACTACTTGATGTACCGGTAGACTCTGTGTGAAAGCTGAAGTCGGACTAGTCGATTCGGGTTAAATGAGGTCGTAAAAAAAGTCCATTAAAAATTTATCCCTCTCACCCCACCCCCCTTTGGAATTACTGGATACAGGTTGGGCCTGTATACACTTTCAAACTAGAAGCACAGATGTATTAGTCAGCTAATTACAAATGTCGCTATTCTACATAAACTAAGGGTAACAAGGCCACTGCCACTAAATACCTGTACGATACCAGTAGTTTGGCTTTGTTTGCAAATTCTACCTGAACCTGTAATTAAAACACTTTCACAAAGCAGTGTCCGAGGTTAAAATGAACAGGCGCTTTCCATTGCCTTAAAAAGCTAATAATTTTGATGGCTTCGTCTTCTGGAGATATCTATCTATAGTCACCTTACGCTGTCACCTTTAATTTCTGCAGGTATTATATTAGTGCATTGTAAGTCTCATATTGGTGGGAAACGATCAGACAATTACACCATCACTTACTTGGTCACATGATTTATTTTTATTTATTTATTTATTTTTTGTCGTTTGATTCTGAACAGCACTAGCACTTCTGTAATATTTTACCTTACGAATTTATAATAAAAGAACTACTTTGTCACCACATTTTAATCAATGTGATCATATCAGTATATGAAGTTAATATGCAGTTACTTTACATGTATGCACCATTGATTCTATTTTTCTTCAAATAACAGTATAAAATTAATATACTATGTATTAATGTATAATTAAACCAAAAACTGTCGGATTAAGTTATCCCGTAATCTGTGTAGCAAAAGTACTGGCTCTATATAACACGTGTATCATGCATGCAGCAACCAATGCACTGGTGAGCCCAATAATAAAAAAGGTCGATATACGGAGAAAGGACAACACCCAAAGAATGTACATTGTTCAGTACCTTGGTATACTATTGTTGAATTGTGATTGCGAAATCTACGTGTCCTGATACTTCGAAGAACCCGTAACTGAATTTAATTTTGAAATTTAATGGGATTTACAGGTAAAATTGTTTGCCTGTCTCTAATGTGTTTAACAACCGTAGCCTGTGTCCTGTCCGCCCCTAATTTTAGGCGTGTAATATATTGCTTGTTAAATGGAGAAGTGCCAATAATCAGTCGATACTACTGCAGTATTATGATAGCGACAGCACAATACAGAGGCAGAGCTGGTCTGTAATTAATGCACACCTTGCTAACTCCCTGAAAATAGCTCCTACTCAAAATTAAAAGGTTCATGGTCTCTCCGTGTCGGATATGAAGAACGGGAAAGATAAAATACACTGGACAGTATGCATGATAGCCTACGGCACACCCGCATCCCCCCTACCCCGCTTACACTTTTATCTGACTGAAACTGCTATCAATTGTGTTTGGCTGGTTCATTACGATGTTTAGCAAGTCCAGTCTAAAGTAGCTAACAAAAACTTCATCGTGCTCAGTTTTTTTGAAACAGCGAGCAATTGCGTTAAGGCAGAGGATTGCATTCAAGCGGCTCTGTAGCTATGTGACTGCTGTGCGTTCCTCTGTTATACCTGCGTCAAGACAACGCTGATACATGTATTGTCTCTTCACCGAAATCAACGTAAGCGTTAAATACAGCAATTACATTAATTAAGCAATTAAGTTAACACGTTTTTAACACGTACCTGTCCAGTTGAGAGTCAGAGGGCCGAGGTGTCCGGTCGTAGTCAGTGAAACAGGGTGACCACTGGCCTAGTTATTGACGCCGTTCACACAACTCAATACAATGCCGCTTGGGTGGAGTCAGTGAAAAGTAAGCATGTATGAAGGGACTACAGTTTACACATGTGCTTAAAACCCGGCGTTCAGGTTACTCGCTGTGTGTACACTCTCCTGTGTCCTCCTTCTACGTGAACTTTTTTATACAACAGAAAACCAATTATATCAGATTCTGTATAAGTGCTATATACATATATATATATATATTGTCTCAGACCTTAATATTTGGACAGCGACTGCTTTATAACCCTATATCTAATTTTTTTTGTTTTTGTCTCTGCAAATATCTTTACGTTTCGTGACTAAAATGATTCATAACCTAAACATGATTTTTAAAGAAAAAATATTAACATTTCAAAGAGGTGAACGTCGACAATGATCAGACTCAAGTCTCCTATTAAATATTTACATGCATATTCATTGTAAAGGGATATTTTGCGAGGTGCTTACCTAAATAAAATGGAATGCTGGACGGGGAGCTAACACAAAGGGCGGTAATATAAGCGGCGGAGTTTATCCACGACTTGTAGGCCTACACTCTCTAAAAGAGGCTATGACTTCGCATAACTCATTATGTGACGAAGTAGACCAAATGGATAGAAATATAATCATTATCAAAAAATCAGCCCCAAATATTTTTTTAGCATTCTGTCCTGAGGTGACACAAGCATTAAAATATTTTCGAATAGGGAAACATTGATTGTTATTATTTTTTAACTTAATTTTTATTTTTTGAAATATACACAGCACAGAAATAAATAAATAAATGTATGGTGGTATCTGGAAAGTTAAGACAAGCGTTGACGAGGGGGAGGGGAGCGCCATTCAAACTATTGCGAAACAGCCAATAAGAAGGGGGGCGGGGGATACATGAAGTCTTTTCTAATAATTGCTTGCTTCATAATGAATCTCAATTGAAATGATTGCGAAATTGCAGTTACCAGTACATTCTCATATAGCAAACTTAGTCATTTTCACAAACAGGAAATTTTCAAAATTTTCAATCCATTTTAATGCTTTAAAGCATTGAACCATTTCCCTATTCATCGTCTTTCCATTATTGAACGTATGAATCACGTCAGTCACGACTCTTATTTTGAGAAAAAATGTTGAGAGTTTAAACAGTTTAACAGTGTAAATAAAGCCAGAGAATCGAAAAAGTAAGTTATGCACTTTGACAAGTTGGCCTGCACTCTCTCTCGGATACGAGCACGTGCACACATACAGAGACAGGAAGCCTATAGGTACATATGTTATTTTTCTGTCTATGGCGCCATGTTTTAGAATAGAACAGAATATCATCATATCATATCATATCATATCTCAAGGTTCGTTTCGTTCTTTCTTTCATAATATGAGAAGCCATGTACCAGTGCGTACGATTAAAGGTATTTTTAAAGGTTTTTTTAAACGTTTGTATGAACGTTTTCTTTAATAAATAAATAAATAAATAAATAAATAAATAAATAAATAAATAAATAAATAAATAAATAAATAAATAAGAAGAAGTTTAAAATTAAAGATATATTGAAATTTAAAACAAAACCAATAAAAATATATACCGTGTATACTGTAGCTGTATTCGAACAGCAAAATCTTTAAAAAAATGTTTGTCGTTAAAATATTTTTGTATGCAGAAAACTGTTATATTGGGGTACATTTACGCAATCGCAATCGTTTGTCTTGTTTGTTAAAACGTTTCCTTTGCGCATTATACTCTGTTTGACGGCATTTTGCACAGGTATATAACTATTTCCAGGGTTTGAGATTTTTATATGTATACATACTTATGTATGTCTTAAATAACGCAAGCCTAATAAACACCAAGAGACGTCGCCAAGCACACAGCCTAACAAACGCCAGCGTCAAGTATACCGAGTAAATTTGTAAACCCTTTATAAGGGGATCATTCCTATGGCTCGTGACAAAAGTGAAGAACTGTCAAACAAGTATAGTAGGTTTGTTTGGAAAGGTTTCGTAAGTTGCACCTGTTTGTGCGTAAAGTTAGTATTCAAATATAAAGGGTACATTTACTAGTTTATGATTCAGCCACAGGAATGTTGCCCGCGCTGCCGCCTTCGTCCCCCTCTATTAGAGATTATTTCATTTTCATGCATTGGCCCGAATGGATGTTTATTGTACTTTGAGAGAGAGAGAGAGAGAGAGAGAGAGAGAGAGAGAGAGAGAGAGAGAGATGTAGAATATTGGCTGTGAATGTGTTTTTATATTGATGCACATGTGTATGTGTGTGTGGAGAGAGAGAGAGAGAGAGAGAGAAAGAGGCAGACATTTTCTCGGTGATCTTTTATTTACAATACATTATTCAATCTCACGTTAAACTAAGACCCCAACCAATGACAATACAATACTTCGGATCGAACATATAAATATCGGTATAAAAGTAAAAAAAAATTAGGACATACGAGGCGGGAGCACTTTATGCCTTTATCCTACCGTTTCTACATGTAATTCATTATTTTAATTTTTATCGATCTTTTTAATTTTAATTTATCAATCATCAGAACAAAAAGAATGCTTATAATGAAATTATGTTGATTAAAATCAATAATAAGAAGAAGATCAGCAACAGCAACAACAATACTAATGATAATGCTATTTTGTTCTGTTTGTTTATGGATTTTTATTTATTTATTTTCCTCTGTAGTGGGCCTCTATTTTCACAATTGTGTTAGGTGGGACACATCTCACCTAGTACAGCTGACATTATTGTGGTCGTTATCTGGTAACCATTCCATGTCCTGAAATCATGTGTATCATGTTTGTGATTGTGTGAATATGTGTTTTTATGTTTTTTTTTTGTACGCCTTGTGAATGAATTGAATTGTGTGTGTAAATGTGTCAGTATGTATGTATGTATGTGCGTGTGCTAAAGTGAGGTATGAAGCATACCCAATGTGCATTTTAATGTTAAAACACGCCTTTAGTCCTATGTAGGCCTACTACTAGTATTATTATTATTATTATTATTATTATTATTATTATTATTATTATTAATTGTGTGTGTGTGTGCTCTCGGACGCGCGTGCGTTGAAATGTGTTTACACTTTGTCAGTAACAAGAACCTGGTTAGCCTCATTCCCTGATGAAGATGTTATGTAAGACATCGAAATACTGGAAGTAAACTATTTCAGTATTAAGCTGTTGACTGAAGAAAAATGTTACTTTATTTTAAAGTTTGCACATACCAACAACTTTCCCATCAAAGAATATCTTATAAACGATTCAATGAAGAGAAGATGGTGATGGCATCCATGTACCACTGAGATGAACACTACAAAAACAGTTAACAAAAATTTCAGCACATAGATGGCACCTTTGTAGGTCTAATGCACGAATTTGAGTCTACTTCCACACTTAAGAACGTTCGGCCATATCTGTTTCGCAGGAGGGTTGAGTTGAGGCCATGACTTCTAGAGACTAAATCCCCAGAACACGGGTTCTTCTTAGAGGGACAGGGCCTTGTCAGTTAGTGCCGCGGTCAAGAAGGCTGGCCAAGAAGATTCGTCCAGCAGTGGACTGTGAGAGAGAGAGACACATGCTCAACCCCTCGACCCCCTGCCTCGAAACCGGCTTTCACACCGATAAAGGACATTTAGGCATGTACCTGGCTCTGTAGAGGACAGGTCTTTATAATAATTAAGCAACAGTGAGTAGAAAACGAAAAGTCCAAGAAACCGTAATGAGCAGGAGAATGGCGTACCAAAAGCTGGAAGAAACCAGCGTTGCCTGCCCCAGTCTGCAGGACTATAACGTGTTCATAGTGGGGTACAAGGGACACGGCAAGTCAGCCACTATGATGAACATTATTCGGGACGTAGAATATAAGGGAGCCGCGGGGTACAAAATTGAGGAGAGAACACACGAGAAATGTACATTCTATGATACGCCTGGTTTCGGCTCACTGGACACAACGGACTCGCACGTGCTGCGCGTGATAAACGCAAAAGCCAACGCGGTCGGTGAAGTGCACGCTTTGTTATTCGTACTGCGTTATTCGCGCATCACAAGTTCCGTGATTTCTTTAATACGCCAACTTAAGGACGCATTCGGGCCAGACTACCCCAAACGCACCATCATAGTCTTTACTTTCACTAACCATGAAGCCGACTTAAAGTTAGCCGACTATTTGAATGACAGTCCGCCGGAATTTCAGAAATTTGTCGGCTTGTGTGAGGGCAGAGTAATCATGTTGGAAAATTCTGACTTCCAGACTGGGGAAACTGCTGCCTCACAAATTGTGGACATGATAACAAACAGGATGCATTCAGAGCCGTTGGTAGTTCCATGGTCTAGAGTAAGTAAACTTATTGACTAATGTCAGTTGTTTAGATAAATAGGAAAGTAAGAAATTACGGAATTAATGTTCAGAAAATAATAATGAATGAATAAATGAAAAATAAATATGCGAATGAATGCACGCTAGTGTGATCGTGTGTGTGTGCGAGAGAGAGAGAGAGAGAGAGAGAGAGAGAGAGAGAGAGAGAGAGAGAGAGAGAGAGAGAGAGAGAGAGAGAGAGAGAGAGAGAG